CAGGCTGTGACCTGATCGATGGGTTAAATACCACCCCTGCACTTTCATATAGCTTCAAGTTGACATGATATTATTCAAATACCAGAAACAGCTGTTTGTGTCTTCCATTGCTGATGCCCTTGCTAGTTCAGCCATCAGCAGGGCCGTAATGGTCCATCAATGAGCCGGCAAACACACACAGTTGCTTTTTAAACATATTAGTGTTAAATAAATAAAAAACAAATAGCTGTGCCAGGGCATAGAAGATGATGATTTGCATTGGCAAGAGAGAGTGTGTAGTGTTGCCAGGGTTCCTTGCATGAGTTTCATTAAGAACGTTGATTAGTTTGTCTTGGTCCAGTGCTGTTTGCACGCTTGTATGTGGGAAGGAAGAGAAGACTAACTAGTGGACTAAGAAACAGGGAGGAAACAGTGAGAAGAAAGAACAGCACCTTACTGGGTAATTTCCATTCATCATGAAAGAAGTCACACATGTAAAATCAGAAATTGTTCTGTTCAGCTTCCTATAAGCTTGGCGTCCCTTCCAACCTCCACTAGTAGAGTCCTGTAGTTGTAGTTGTAGATAGATAACCTTTTACTTATCTATCTAAAATCGCTGCATTTTATTTTGCTATATTTCCTCTTCCTTGTGCTTATAGCAACATGAATATTAAAAACAATATGCATATTTTTTCATGCTAAAAAGATCCTGGTGTCACAAGGGGTGAAGTAGTGGACTGGTAACTGAAAAGTTGATGCTTGGACCTACCCGTGCTGCACAGGAGAATGAAGGGGAAGTCTGCTTCTGTGAAGACATATAATCTCCCAGTTGCCCTCTGTGTCAGAAGGAATCATAGTATTTCTGGTTTCCTCTGTATACAGTATGGATGACTTTTTCTCTATTGACTTTATTTTCAAATGGACAAATTTGTACAAGTTGTACAACATGTTAAATCAAAAAGAGGAAAGGAGGAGGGAGCGAGGGAGGAAGAAAGAAAAGGAGAAAGGAATGAGAAACTGGGTGAACAGGACAAAACAGAGACAACATTGGCAGCAAAGCCTAGACAGGATGTAAGATTTTAAAGCTATGTGGAAGAGATACAGTTGAAACTAAAAATAAAGTTATGAAAAATTAGAAATAAATTAGATATCATTAGAGGTCAATGTAAGTGATACTAAAAGATTAATCAAGTTCCCTCTTTGCCCTTTCTCCAAAATGTACACACTTTTAAAAATGGAAAATGTAGAGTCAATCCATCATGACTTTGATTTTAAATATTTGATACAATTCAATTGATAATTAGACTATACGTTGATTTTTTTTTAGTTGTTCGCTGGTACAAGGCTGCCATTTTAGTAGAAAATTCTGTATCCCTTTTATTACATACAAACACAGTTCATGACAAAGATGAAATATAGAGTACATATATCAGGATCAACAAGTGGGGACTTCTTAAAGAGAGAGTTTTGTGGTACTAACCTCCTGGCAATTTGGACATAGTGATTTTATTTTTAACAAGAAAAGGAATAATGTAGAACTGTACTATATTTAACAGTAAAGCAAGTGTGCTATCCTATTCTTAAACATGACAGTTCTGTACATTAAAATTTGAAAAGAAGTGCCCCTCTGGAAGTCTCTGGGTGTGTGAGCTGATTTTAAGGAGCTCCTGTTATAGATTTACTTTTGCTCATCATCTACACAGGAGGTAGAAGGGACGTCTGTAAGTGCTGGTCACTGAGGGCTGGCAAGTTATTTTGATTTGTGATAAATGTGGTAGGTACATGTCACATGCACCCACACATAGTAAAGGCTTGCCAGCTAATATTTGATTACTCAGCCTTACAATTTGTGCTTTTTTGTAAAAGTGTCATAAAACAGCACGTTTGAAGAAGTGGATAGCATTCTTGCTGACTCAGAGATGATTTGACAGTTTTTTGACGTCAGCACTGTGCTTAGCATCCCGAGTTTTGCACAATATTTTTTTCTTTAAGTCTACCAATGAAGATACCACCTTTCCTGGAGTTCTGAAGTAAGCCTAGACCTTACTGAAGCTTACTCTTGTCCTCCTAACAAAGTGTTCTGAGGTTTACTATCATTCTTTCTTATTGACTTGACACTGCTGTTTTCCTTTTTACTTGATGTTTTTCTCCCAAAGTTCTCTTTGGCGGCAGGCTTATTTTTAATGCTTTTTCTGGCTTCCCTTAAGAAGATTTACCTCTTCAAACGTTCTGGCTCAGAAGTTAATGGGAACTTTGCTTTTCAGTCATTTTCATATAATGCTTCCACCACAGATTGACAAATTCCAAGGTACTCCTTTTGAAGGGACTTTAATATAGTCTTTAAAAATATTTGTGGCACACATAAACTATGTTGAATAGCCCATCTCTCTGTGAAAAGTGTCATTGGTGTATGACTTTCTTTTGTTAAATAGAAAGATGATAAAATATATCTACAAAGTCATTCCATGCATTAGGCAGAGGCCTAAGTATCTGCCTTGTTGACCTTGCAGTGCCTCAGGGGCACTTCCACTCTGTCCTCCAGGGGGGCATGGGTTGGAATAGGTTCAATGGTAGTGAGTTTGGGTTTTTTTATTTGTCTGTTTGCGTGCCACCATGAAGAAAGGAATAACTCACAGATCTTAAAAAATAGATTAAGGAGGCCCACTGCCTTGAGTAAGGACACTCAGTCACTATTTGAATAAGACTAGACTTTTTACTGGCACTTCTGCCACTTGACACAATATCCACCACTGAAGGACTGCTTACACGTGGCCGTGGAGTCCCTGGGGCGTTCCAAGAGTTCAATTGCTCATCTGCTGGGTGAAAGGATGAAGGAGTGAATCCATTTAGAGGTCCCACAAGAGAAGATCTGGCAATCCACTTTCAAAAATCAACCCTCTAGCACCCTATGGAATAACATTTGATTGACAAATATGGTGTCATCTTGGGACTGAATCATTTTTATAGAATGCAGTTTACTGCCTACCTATTTGTCCTCCAGCAAGAAAACAAGAATGCTGTCCACAGCCTTAAACGGAGGATCAAGAATATGTGGTGCAGATGACAGGCTCTGAGAATAAAACCCTAAGATTTATGCAAGTGATAAAATCTGCCTTACATCATTCTCACGAGGAGTAAATTAACTGTGTCGTTTCTGTGTACTCTAGAGCTGATTCCAACTCATCCAGACACAAGGGGACACAGTAGAGTGGCCCCACAGGGTTTCCAAGGCAAGTTCTTTTCTCTTGCTGAGCAGCTAGTGGATTTGAACTACTAAACTTTCAGTTAACAGTTGAGCTCTCAACATGTTCACCTTTAAAACTAAATGCACGGGCATGGAGTTGATTCAGATGCCTAGAGAACCTATACAGAAATTTGAGGCTATAAATTGTTACAGGAGCAGACAAGTGCATCTTTTCCCCACAATAGGCAGCCTAACACTTGCCCAATAGAGCCACCCAAAACCCACTGCCATTGCGTCCTTTCTGACTCACAGTGACCTTCTCTGGGGTTTCTGAGGCTGTAAAACTTTATAGGAGCAGATAGTGTCATCTTTGTCCAGCGGAGATCAAGTGGGTTTGAACTGCCAACATTATGGTTAACAGTCCAACACTGACCTGACAAAGTACATCTAAAGTACTAAGAACAATGTAACACTGATGTTACTATATTTTCTATTATTCTAGGTAAATCCTAGAGTCAAACAAAAAGTACAGCTAGTACTGGGTCACATGCATACTATTAGGTAACAAGAGAACATTGCTCCTATTGGCTTCTCTGGAGCTCTTATTTTCAGGGACGGTTCTGCAGGGATGTAGGTGATGTTGAGCCTCTGAACTTGCATCCTGAATGTTCCAGAGGCCATGGGATCCTCACTTCACTCCGGCTTGCCCATGTACTGGCCAAAGAGAGCACAAACCTGGTTTGGGAAGACATACTTCAAATACCCCACAAACACGCACAAATATAAATCTCAAAAAGTGACAGACACAAACAGCAGAAAAGAGTAGAGATTGGTCTGTATTCACATAGCCAAATTATGTTTCCTTTCTTCTACCATTACATTACTCCTTTATTCTGTGACTCCTGGAACATTTCCATTAAAAGTATAAAGCTGAGAGAAATACTTTGATTTCCAGTTCTCTTGAGAGGAGTAAATAGGCCCTTTCTTCTTCTTCTTCTTCTTCTTCTTCTTCTTCTTCTTCTTCTTCTTCTTCTTCTTCTTCTTCTTCTTCTTCTTCTTCTTCCTCCTCCTCCTCCTCC